AAGCGATGTGGCTTGTTTGTTTTTGTTTTGAGAAGCCCACTTGCTATATTCTTTTTTCTTATATACCCACTTTCAATATTCTTGTACCTCTCTGTGATTATGATGATAACCTTTTGTTGTTATCATCATCATCATCTTAAAACTGCACAGCTGGAAGGGATCCTATGAATAATCAGGTCAAGGACGCATAGTGAGGAATCAAACTCCCAACCATTGGCTCCATGACCAGATACCTAGACCTCAGTGGAGAACTGTGGTGTTGCTACAGGGGGAGAAAGAGCAAAGATCAAAAAACCTCTGACTGCTCTCTGCCCTCATGCATGCACTGTAACTGGATTGAGCCAAATATGTTTACAATCTCCCCTTCAGACTTTTGTGTTTGTCTCACGAAGGGGTGCTTCCAGAGCAGGTTTTTCTCATGCAGTCCTCTGGTCCTATCGGCAGATCCAGATAGTCACACTTTCTGTTTATAACCTTCCCACATTCCACCCACCTCTTTATAGGCTCTAGGGATGGTGCGTTGCTGTGAGGGAAAAAAAGACTTAGCAAATCATAGGAACAAAACGTTAGCAAAATGTTAAAGTCTATTCCTTAGCAGACAAACATAGGCACAGGGAGCAAAAATCAAAGGCTAATCTTGGTCAACAGGGGAATGGTGGAGCATACTGGACAGTTCTGGCTGCAAGGACAATTTTTGGCCTTGTCTGCAATGATAGCTCATTCTTATCACATGCTGTTGTATTCTTGGCCAAACTTTTAAGAAGCAGGCGGAAGAAAGGAGCCAGTTTACATTCCACCAGAACACAAAGGATCTGTTTGCTTGCTCAAATGTGTAACTTCAAGGGCAGGAGTCCTCTAGAACAGCCATTCCCACCTTTTATTTTAGTCACGCCGTAAACAACATATGAAAGAAATATTGGCTGAATGAGAATTGTATAAGTCATACAATGTTGTGTGAAGAATTGTTTCCAGTCTGTGGTCCCCTTCAAAAGTGCCAGGGTCCCCCAGGGGGGGCATATGGATGTCATCAAGTAAGAAATGTCTAGGAATGCTTTTTCCACTTCCACACCTCCAGTGTAGAACTGGTAAATACAGACCTTCATTCTATCCTGTACAGAACACTGGGTATCAATAATTTACTGCTTATTTATTTATTTATTTGTTAGTTTAGTTACTTGATTACTTATTTCCAATCTATATCCCAATGCAGGGATCCAAAGCTACTTACAAAAAGTGATTTTTAAAAAGATACTTCAGTTATAATATTAATATGCACTTAACCATATGATAATATGAACAATAACTCGAAAACAATTTAAAACATTTTTGTTATCAGATCATTTTTTATTATTTATTTATTTATTTATAAAATATGAAGAATAACTCGAAAACAATTTAAGACATTTTTGTTATCAGATCATGTGAATGGATTGGGCAAAAAATGGCTGTATCATTGCTCCAGTGCATTCTGGGACAATCAGATGGTTAGCTGCCACTTGCTACTAGTACTAAGTAGGGTGCTTCAGTCACCAAAGGAAAAGCTAAATTGTATTTATTTATTTATTTATTTA